ATCTCTGTATCGCCTAATATATTCTATTAAAAGAAAACGAATTCGTAGTATACCAAAAAATGATATTGTTCACAGAGCCGAAAACTGGTCGCACAGAATTTTGATCATTTTGAAAAAAAAAAGTACACATATAATATAAGGTTTTTAATGTAACTTGTAGAGATTTTCACGCTGCATCTTTTAGTATACTTTGCTTTTAAAATATGTCTACTAGAAGAGGATAAGAAAAGAGATACGAACACTAGTCATTCGTAATTAGAACATCCGTTCTCTTTGAAAGTTGAGCACTTTTTATGCTTTGAATAATATTCATTTCTTTTTTTCTCTCAACTTTCTACAGAAATACGTTTAGTTATGGTTTTGTAGAGAATTGCACGACGCATCTTTTGGCAAAACAACCAGTTATAAAGATCAAAAAGAAAAAAAGTTATAATCAAAATACTGAGACCGCCATTTATTCTGCCGCACCCGTTAAATATTCGTCATACGTGTCCAGCATGCCGATTTGCTAAATGTTTTAAATGTGGAATGACTACTGAAAAGTTTCAAACACAAAGACAGACTAAACCAAAAACAAAAAATTTAGTTACAAAACAAAAATATAACATTAACAAGAGATGATAAGATTGTTCAATTTTTTGTCTAAAAAGATCGAAGTTAAGTTTTCATCATAGAAAAATGCAATGAACTTGTGTACGGGGTGTGGATGTGTGAGTGTTCTCATCCTGCATACACCTACACCCTAGTCGTCGTATGAAGAAATGATGTGCCGAATAGACCTTAAATAATTTGCATATTGACTTGTTCTAAATACATATGAAATCAAGATCACTAGAAGATATTTTATTGATCTGTATAAGACTGAGTAAATGTCTTCTGTGTGCATCAATTTACACAGATTCATCCATAAAACGAGAAGTATCGAGCAGCATGTTGTTATAAGGATACTTCGTAAGAATTTCTCAGTATGAAAAAAAAATTCGTTCCATCTTACAACAAATAAATAAAAGGACTTTTAGCAGTCTCAATCTCATTTGTGCCCGCCACAATTTAATGTACATTTTTTTTTAGATTAGTTGGACATACCTTTTCTTCATGCGACTATTTATTTTAAGAAACAAAGAAAAATAAGCATCTGAGTGAGGGCATGTAGAGAAATATACAACTGCGATAGCTAAAAATTTCCATTTTTCTCACTAATAGCGGCGGAATTTTTCCTATATTTCACATCACCCAAAGAAAAGCTTTTCGAACACATTCTCCCACACCTTCTCAATCTTCGTTCCTTCGAGTAGTCAATGGTGTTGACATGAGCGCGAAAGCTGCTGTGTGAGTGTTGACGCCAGCGAAACTAAACATGATAGTGAATAAACTGTTGAGCTATACCCATCCATGCCGGGTTTGCAAAATGCTTTAAGATTCTACAATGCGAAAATAAGCTAGAAGAAAGATTGAATCTTCGAAGTCACCCTTTTGGGCCCAAGTAGGTGCACCAGAGTGCGTATACTCGAAGGTGTGCATGTCTCCTCCTTCTTCACACTGACTTATACAGCCGCAACCATACTTTCCAAAGCCACATCTACACCCGCATAAATCAACCCTAAAGTGAAGTATTTGAAAGTTCCGAATGTTAGTTGATAATGTTGAAATTACAAAAATGATTGTTTTATTTTAAGCGAATAAGCACAATGAAATATATTGTACTTAATAGTTTAATACAATATTTAACATAAGTTTACTATTGGCCTTAAGATCTAACTAATGTAGAATCAATTTTACAATCATATTAATATTATTATACAATGAAATTTCGACAATTACTCCAGGATAGATAGTTCAAAATTAAAAAGCAAATAGTTTTATTAAATTGGGCGTCTTTTTATTCCATCCGTTGAGATTTAACTATCTTATTAAGTGTTTTTATTAATAGAACAGTCATGTTTGTAATTCTTGTTCTAAAATAAAGCAACAATAATAATACTGTGTTTTACTTAAATACAAGCTAATTTACTTGGACGAATATAATCAGAGAGGCACAATGTATTCCATGCCACCTTATGATTTAGCACAAGTATACACATAAGTCGAATGAAATTGGGATCATATTGAGCATGATGTAAGTTTTTAACTGTTTCTTCATCGAGTTGATAGAAGAACTTGTCGTCTGATTTATTTGTCGTAGTCAACACTGGTATATTGATTAATCGTAGAGATAATCTAAACAAAATTCATCTTCGCGGCAACATCAAAATTATAGCCTAAACAAAACTTACAGAAAAGTTCCATCAGATTCTATGGATAGTGAATTCAGATTTAGTTGAATCGGATTTACAGCTTCCGTAATTTTGTTTTTGTTAGCAGGTAAAAATTGCATATCTCTACATAGATGCCAATTTCGTTTATTATTGATTTTTTCTTCTCGCACAACAGCGACCATTAAATGAATAGGTTGCAATAATCGTTTATATTTAGAAATGTAAAACATTGGAATCTATTAAAAAATGAATCGGTCATTGAACAATGTTTTTTTCTTTTTGTAAAGCTTATAAAAAGTTTCTAGATTCATATAATCTCGTAATATTGAAATCTCAAAGACTCTAACACAAATGTTACAAAAGAATTTTCGATATGAAACAGTTCTGCTGCAAACTGAAAATGAACAGTGTAATATAAGTGTCTATAACGTAAGCCTTTTCAAAACTTCTCGAATCAATTTTTCAGTTTATCATAAAAATGTTGAAAGCATATTATGTTCTTTATTTTGTTTTAGATGAGTCTCATAAATGATTATTTCTTCTTAATACTTGAAAACAGGAAATGAATATCGACTAGGCAGTCTATGCTGATTTTTTAATGACTGATTTAAAAGATTTGAGCAATGGTAATCTAATTAGCGTTGAATCCAAAAGCTTATGCACCGGACTATAGAATGGCAGAAGATACAGAGAAAAAAAAACTAAATCTTCGTTATTAATGCTTACTTTCAGCCGAGGTAAAACACTTATTCCTTTGTCTGCTTTAGTCTTGAATCCTTGAATACGCATAACATACGACAAACTACTTTTGTCTATCAGTTTATCAAAAGTATCTTTATCATGTTGTGTTTTTTGATAAGGATGAACATCACGTATAAATTGTAACGAAGTTGATAATTCCTTTGGTACAGTTGCTTGTGCAGTTTGATAATGAATATTTAAGGCAAGACCATCTGAATTGTTTTCACAAACACTTGTACATGGTGTTATAACTGGAATCGTGTTGATATTGACAGATTTATTTACAGTAATGTCTGTTATGTCCTGAACAGCTTCCTGTGTCACAAGATTCATACTTTCAGTAAAACGTAATTCATCATTATCTGATGAAAATAATGTTTCCGGAGTTCTTTGTACAATTGATACATCAGACTCACATATAGTTTTTTTGATATCATCATTTGATGAAAGTAAATTTAATTGATTAATATCAGATAATGGTTGAGCATGACTGGTCGAATAATTACACTCATTGCATTCACACACATCTGCAATTTCTATTAGAAAAATATTCATTATTTAGATCTTATCTTGTTTCTCATAAGGACCTTACCTTCTGTTGATCTTGAAATGAACAATTCCGCAGGACATGAGCATTGGTTGTCGTCAGGAAAAATCATATTGAACTCTTCCGATGCTGTATTGTCGTTATCAATAGTATTGCATTCGAATAACAAAGCTCGTGAACAATCGTTCAATTGTGTTATTTCCTTGCATTGATCATGATCATAAACAACTTAAATTATAAGTAACAAATGAAACCTTTTTAGACTTCACTAACGTATAGATGATTTGTAAAATCTCTAACATGATTCTACATATTTTAACTCACTTGATGGAAAATGATTCCGTAAAATATCACCTTTGAATTCACTTATAGATGTAAGAGGTAATTGTTCATGTAAATCTTCCAAATAGTTATCGTCTAATACACACATATCCTTGAAACATTCATCGTAAATTTGAATTTCAAAACTATCAGGACTCATACCAAATGATTTTCCAACTTGGTCTTTTAGAAAAGCCAAAGACATATTAGAGTTAAAAGTAAATGGATAAAACTTGTGGTTGAATCGAAAATGAAGCTTGTATAAAGCCATATATTGAATAAAATAATTCTGTTTGTATAAATTATATACAGTGAGTGTGGAAATGTAGCATGAATACTTTTTTTTTACTTGATCAGTAGTTTATTCTAAACGAAATAAATATAAGATGATAAATAAATTTAAATGTTGCAGTTTTTTCTTATGAAAACGAAATCACTATATTTTCTACTGTTTTGCGTTCTTGTATTTCTTTTTCGGTTGATGCAAAAAAAGTCAAAACGCCAGCATATATATTCCAGCACATTTTTTACGAGTATTTTTTTTCCTCCTTCTTCTCATTCTCGTCTGCATTAAACGATAAAAAATACAGGAGAAAGATAAAAGACCTTGAGCCTTCTACTTTACAGACGGCATTTATTCATTTTCGTTTTTTTCTTTCTGGCTTGTTGTAAATGAAAAATAAAATGAATCAACAGAAAAAAACTCGTTTGATTCGTCCAATATATGACTATGATAAGATGAAGTTTTCCAGCCGCATCGTTTCGCATCTTATGAGAGATATACAAATTTGCCTTATTCATATTAAACGATCAAAAGAGTAAGATAGTGGCATGATGATAAAAGTTCATACAAAATTAAATATTGTTGATCGTCATCGTAAGTTTATATGTGCTTGCAAAACATGGAAACTTACTGGGATGACAACAAGAGAAGCCGTCGAAGATTTTATAGTAAAAACGTATAAACGTGTTCAGGATCCGTTTGATATTGAAATTCTTGATCAAGACGATGGCTTTGTCACTTTGAATAATACTTATATCGACGACTACAAATGTTTCAAACCAAACAAAACAACGACACCTAGTGCTCAACCAACCAATTCAGAAAGACAAACATTGATATTACAAATTATTTTGTTAAGTAAATCAATTAGTAACAAGTTGTCTTTGTCCTCTATAATCATGAATCTTTCTATGTATAGATTATACTCATAAATCGATTACCGAACAAGAATGTGTGAATACTACAGAAGGTATGTTCACATTCAAAAATGGTTGTGCGTGTAAATCGATTATTTCATTATATATATATTTAATAACAGGTATTCAACCAAATAAAGATACTCAACAAAATGATCAGTTTGTATCGAGTTCAAAATCACAAATACATTGTACTATTCCTCTTTCTAATGATTCTAAAATGGCTTTTGTTGATGGTCTCAATGTCAATTATGAACAACGAGATCAATACATTTCTGATGTAATAAATGTGGATACAGGGAAAATCGTTGGTAAACCTAGTAGGATTCAAGCTCCAAAAACTTCAAAACGAAAATATGGAAGTAGATTACCTCGATTTCAGGTAATCTTATTTAAAAATATTACACATCTAAGAATATTATCTTGATCTTGTTTTTATTGATAGATTGGTATTGATGAAGTTACAAACTGCAATGATCACGTTTTCACTTTGCTTGTTTATATTGTATTGGATATATATCAATCTGGAAAACGTTGCCTCTTTTATCATCCGGAGCGAGCTTTTATCAAAGAAGATAATGTAAAGCAATTGTTGGATCGGTATGAAATACCTATTACTACAACCAAGAATTGGACGAGCGACAAGGGAGAAAAGTAAATTAAATTCATTATTTCGAACTTCGATGTTTTCTTATATTGTTTATAGACTTGAATTAAGAATTATGGCAATCAAAGAAGCAAAAAAACATCCTAGTGCACCCTTAGACATGCTGTGTCAATTCACAGATATTAATGAAAGCAAATTATTACACTCATCAGACGATTATAGGAAATCTCGTTTAGTTCTTGTTCTTCAAAAAGATGATGTCATTCAATGGGAAACTTTAGTTTTATCCAATGAACTAATTTTCACAAGTAATAAAAAATGATTTTATTATAGATAGACAAGACGTTTTTCGAATATTTAAAAGGACGTCATACATCCGATGTGGTCAATATTTTGGATGTTCCGAAGAATATATCATCGGAGAAAAAACAATCAAAGAAACGTCGTATACTATCTTTTTTTCTTTTTATCTTTTGATTATAACAGAAAGTGTACTTTAGAAAAAGAGTCAGATCACTGTTGTCAACGAACAAAAAAAGCAAAAGGACAAGATCATTCATCAACGACAAATATATCTACAAATGTGAAGAATTCTTCTATGCATATTGATCAGGATCTTCCATTGTACAATAACACTCGACAAATTACAGATAGTATATTTTCACAAATGATCAATACTTCGTCATCCGATTTACAATTTCTCTTTGTAAGTTATAGAAAATATCTCTACTGTACTTGCGAAAAAAATCTTTTTCGTACACATGGTGCATTTATTTTTAAGAGTCTAAATATCAATTTGGAAAGTTAACTTTTTGTTTCTTTCCAATTATATAGTCTGATATTGTATGATTGTTTTGTTGTATTGTGTAGGATGCATCTAAAAACGACAGCTTACCTGAAAACTCAAATAGTATAAATGATAATTATGACCTTAATGATTTAAATGTTCTTGATCAAATAGATACGAACAACGTCATAGTAAATAATGATCCTTCACTCTATGATGCTGTGAGTAGTAACACTAGTTCATTATTATGTGATACTAACTGTCCGATCTGTCAAAGTCCTGGTTATGATATTATTTGTCGCCTTTGTGGTTACTCGTCATGAAGACATCATTTTTTTCTAATAATTATTTCTATTGTTAGTTTTTGTTTGCCTTGTGTTTTTTTTTTTTTATTCTTGCTGAACAAATAAAAAGACATTTTTTTAATGTAACAATATCTAATCTATAAAATGAAAAAATGGATGAAATACACATTTTTTCTTTTTTTATTAATCTTCAAGAAACAATAATCATATATATTAAAAATCGAATGGGTTTTATGATTTTGGTGTTTAGTTTTTTTTTTCTTTTTACTCTGTGAATCAGTAATTATTGCGGATTGATTAATCGGAGACAAATGGGAATAAATGAATAATCTTTTAAGCTATAATTCACATAGGACATACAAAAACCAAATAGAAGTAAATTCCTCGATAAAAACCAAATAGGCTTGATTCGATTGAAGAAATTTACCTCTAATTTTGGAGAATTTCGTTTTTCTACAATAGATTTTCACCGTTAATATAAATACACAAGCTGAACTCCTCTCCGTTCAAAATCCAGTTACCTCTTTCAAAAATAAAATGATATTCATTTAGCGGAAAAAAATTAGTCGAAAGACTTTTTAGTGAAAACAAAAAATGTATGAAACGCACAAGTGCAAAAGTACAGTGTAGTAAAGAGCAACATTGTAAAATGCATTTCAACAATTAGTTTTTTTCTTAACGGAGTTCAATTGTTTATGTTTAATCGTGATTCATCATGTTGGATGTGTGCAGCAGTGATAGTTGTTCCTACTGCTTCTAATATATTGATTTGTTTTTGGACGAGAGTGTCGATATTTTCCTCGATAAGTCCTTACCTACTTTTTCTGCTATCGTAATTTCTTTCGTAAAAAGAATTCCCTTGATTGGACTTTTTGTTGACGTTGCATGTTACAGAACTTTGCTAATTTTTTTTGAAGTGTGAGTGTCGGTGTAGATGAAGCGACCAATAAAACCTACACCCACGTCCTATATCTTCGTGTGTCTTGTCATTTGTTCTTTTCAGAAGAAAACAGAAGAAGCTTATGCCTTTTTTTTCTTTCGTTTCTTTTATATGCAACGTTATCGACACATGATGTCGTTTAACTCAAATGTAAATGCTGATAAAATGAAACACCAGCATAATATTTCTTGAAGCAAGAATCAGACAACAACATGAGTGTAGATAACTCTGAATTAATTTGTCGAATTCGTAGTATGTACGACTATAATGACGATCGAAAAGCAATAGTTGATCTATTACATCGATGTGAATCTACGAATGAGGCATCTGCATTCAAAAGTAACAGTGGTGGGTCATCTGTTCTATTCCATTGCGAGTTTCCGGATTATCTTCGATGCATGGAACGATATCCTGAGTCTTATTGTTTACAAATGATAGATTCAAAAGATAATCGAGTCGTTCTCGTCTATGTTATGAATTGTAAACGTGTTCATTTCGGTCCGTACATTATGTCAACAGTTTTCGGTCGCTTGGGTCGTGTTGATCCAAACCGACAACGGCAGCTGGTTGGAATGTCTGCCTATCCACATGTCGCTCAGTTTGTTCGCCAAGGTGGATTTGATTATGGTCAAAACCATACCATGGTCACGAATGTTGCTTCAATACAGTGACAACGCAAATATTTGGCGGCGTCGCGTAAGGAAATTTGTTATATTGACACTTTTGTCATTCCCACAATATACGAGGCTGCAGTTGTGAGACTATATAAATTAACTCAATCAGAAACCGAAAAGCTATGGATGGTCGATCTTGAAGATTGGGTAGATCGTCCGATTTTATCCGACTTGCGACGTATTATGCAATTAGAAGAATATGTTGGTACTTTCGCCATAGGTGATTTTCCTTCAGGTCATTACGCAGTAGCATCTTTGTGGCTAGCATCGAATTCAATTATTTGTGATGATCGATCAAATACAGAAAATTATCGTGGTCCATATTGGTTGGTGTTTAATTTTTACGAATCGTCTCCAAAAACGGCTATAATTTCTACTGATCTCAAATCTAGTCTTTTATCTGCACTCAGCAATGCTGCAGTCGTTGATCACATCCCATTTATGCTTTGTACACTGGAGCAAACTTCGGTGTTCAACAATGTATGTCGAAAACAAGCTGTGGCGATGACCACAGAAATTCTTTCACGACGATTCATTTCTCAACGCTTGGAAAAGTTAGGAAACAAGTATGATAATCGACATATATGGCATGATCCACGAGATTTCAGTTTACTTCTGTACTTTGGTCAAGTTCATGAAAAACTTCCTTCTCAATTATAATCAAACTAATCACACGAAAAACAGAACCTTCGATAATCGTAAAACTGGCAAAAAATCAGTTATGAATATTATCATCGAATGTGTAAAATTCTATAGAAACGATAAAATAAAATGATTGATGAAATAAATTAAATTCTTAAATCAGAGCTTTACAGACTATTGTCAAGATCATTTTTAATTGGTTCACAAATCAAGAATTTTAAGGAGAAGTCTGATAAAGCCATATCTAACTATACGACTGTGAGTGTGAGACGACACTTTTTTTTGTGAAAATGTTTTCTTTACTCTGTTGTGTCAATAAAAACAAAGAGCAAAAACATTTTATTAACATCATGACAACATATAACTTTTCATATAATAGTGTTTTAAAGATCAAGCCTTTGTTCGGCAGATGTACAACAGCATAATATATTTTTATTTGATAAATGTGTTAAATAAATTAACTATAACCACAAGATCTGTTCTCTAATATTTCTAGGTATTAAAGTCACTATTGTTGTGTTTCTTATTAAATTTGTTCATTCACAAGACAGTAATTCGTTCTCCTATGTAATGCATCTAATCAAATAAAACTTGACAAACAATTTTAGCAAATAATAATTCCGATAAAAAAAGAATGATACAACATTGTTATCGTATTTTGATGAAGTAAAACATACTTTCAGAAATGAATGTAAACTACATAGGTAACCATCTTAAAGTTGGGTCATACACAGAAAGAATCATATCAGAAGAGAAAAAGAATAAGAAGTTTAAAATCAAGGAAAGATATGAGCTCTTAGCAATATACATATTTTTCATTATGTACCTTTTCTTTTTCGTTTTTGTTAGACAAAACTATTGCTCATGTGCTTCAGTTCATGTCGAACTAATTAGTTATTTAAGGCAAAGTGTAATTAATCATCTGAATAGTGAAAGTGAAGATGTAGATGTAGATAAGGAGTGTGACAGTGATGTTACATGAGGAAAAGTATCATGCCAATATCCTTACTCGCATCTACATTCCGCTTTCTTTTCAACACTTTTTCGACAATCTATTTCGGACATTTTGAATTTTTATTATTTAACAGTTTATCTGTTCTAATTCCTCGTGATTATTTAAATAAGTGATATTCCAATAGCAGAGATTATGTTAACTAATAGTATGACACATTTACACGTATACTACACTTCAGACAAAAAAGTCTCTTTATCATATGCATACGTTTTACTAGCTTTACTTATAATTATGAATGGAATAATGGAACATAAGCATTAAATTTTAATGGAACTTCTCAGTGTAACCAATATAGCTGGATCAAGAGTTTTATTAATTAATTTTGTATGATATCGATATTATACGAATTGGAAGCAATGAATATGTCTCACTACAGACTTCCATTTGCTCTGTTATTACAAGCTCAAATTTCTCGAATAATAATACAAGAAAATATTTTCTTTCGTTTCTTGCACGTTTTTACCGTGGACAGCTTACATACGAGAAATTTTAAATTTTACTATTTCTTTCGTTGATTCAAATTTTATTCTGTGCAAATATTTAGTAAGATGTTTGGGGAGACGGAGATGAGAGAAAAATAGAGAGAAATTAAAAAATTTTATCGTAAAGTCAATATGACGGCACGAAATATATTGGGAAAAAAACCAGTTTGCATGTGATCGGCATTCAATCCTGCAGAAAATTTTCAAGCTCGTCAATGGATTGCTTTAGCCAATAAAAATTGAAGGAATAAGAAAATTCCAACAGCGTTTTCTCCGTTCTGTTCGATTGTGGGGAAAAAGTGTTGACTTATACTTGGTCGGTAATGTTTTTTACTATCATGTAAAAATAACGAGTACGCCTTATGCCAACTTTTTGCTTGCGTGCACATATAAAGAAAAAAACCTTAGAAGAAAAGAATCATAAAAGAGAGAATCGTTGCTTCGATTATTCTTGACGCTTTATTTTTCAGGCAACTCGTATCGATTTGTTGTTTTATTTTTGTATAGATTTTGATTTGACAAAATGCCTACGTCGATTATATCCAACACTGATGACATCGATAATGAGGATTATTACGGTGATACAATGCAGATTATACCGAGCACTACAGTTCCTACAGTGGTGCAGTCTACATTTTCTCCATACAAAATTTCTTTGTATGTTTTGCGTCAATCTAATCCAAACGAGAGTTGGAAAATTCAAGCTCTCTTTGGTGACGATCTAAAATATGTTTTCGATATTATCGCAACTCTTGCTCGCCCGGGGGTAAGTTTACTCCTTTTACTTAACATAGACTACAGAGTTTGAAGTAGAGATTTATCATCACTAATGGGCATCTATGATGTACTATTCGAAAGCCACAATCGATTGTACTCAACGGAACATTTTAGATTAAGTTGCAAGTTATTCTATTTTGTAGGGCCAAAGGTTGTAAACGTACGATGATTCTTTTCAGACCAAGCAAACTAATGTTAATTGAGATATTATGATTAGACTAATAGCAATCTAAATGTCTTTTTATCGATTTAAAGTATTATTTGTCAGTGAGTTATTTCAAATAAATATTTTCATGATATTTCTTCAGCAATATGCGATAGACATGAAAGTTTTTTGTCAGACATACCATTTGAGATGGAGAACTTAATCACAATATCTAATAAATTCCATGTAGTAACCAAGTATCGTTCGAATTTTCATCTTAGTTCTATTTACTCTAATATTTAACTTAAAAATAGACTGTCGTTGCGATAGACTTTTCAATATCCGTGAAATAGAATTGGCTTTAAAAATTGTCTAGAAGACTACTAATGTGACGCTATTTGCAAATACAATTGACGTTTTCGCCTCTTGAAGTTTTCCATGACTATTGTCATTACAAAATAACACTTTTTCTGTGTCGTGTAAAACATGAAACGATTATAGTCAGTTCAACAAGAGAACTAGAGCAATAGCGGAGGTAAAAGTTAGTTTCAGTCTAATTGAAGAAGGGTAATTCTTTCCAGAGCGTACCACAATTACATCGACTTTAACCGAATGGAATGAAACTTTCTGAGTTTGTAGGACTAGTAACTCTAAGCATAGCCATAGGGTCAAAAAAATTTTAAAACCCTGTGAAGGAGTCCAAAGGAGGAGGTTAAGGTGGGTTTTCCCAGCCAAACTGGACTTTAGCTAGCTTTTTTATTTCAAATGATAGAAGTCTGAAAATTTTACCATAGATGCTATTCACTTAGGTGATCATTTTTTGTAGCGGATGTTTTTTCTCCCGTGTTCTGTTTTTTGGGAAAGCGTTACAGAAAATGCTAATTTTTGACGATATTTGGGCTCGGATAT